GCCGAGGATGCTGAGAGGGCAGAGGCACATCACCCAGTCAGGTCAGCCATCATCATCGTCATCGGTCCAGTTTGGCGCCCCTCACCACAAAAAAATAAGACACTGAGGGGCTGGAGCGGGTCCAGAGTCGCTGGTGGCCAGTGGGCGAGGAAAGGGCGCGGGGAGCGAGGAGAGGGGAAGAGGGAGAAGAAAACCAGGAGACCCGCAAACCCCCGCCGCTCCCGGGCGATGGGATGGGACGGGATGGGGCGGGGAGGTGCCCGCCCGATTTGGGAGGGCTGGGGGGTGCGCGGCCCCTCCGCCTTGCCCTGCCCTGGAGGGGTGGCGAGAGCCGGGTGGTGGCGAGTAGCCCCCCCGCAGGTGCTGCTCCGAGGGCCGGTTAATGGGCGGTGAGGGGCATCGCCCGGCCGGGGCGGGGGGAAGTTATCGGCGTGGTTTTCCCCCTTGGGAAGAAGAGCTGAGTCTGCTGAGAGGGCAGAGGGACATTATCCTGTCAGGTCATCCATCATCATCGTCGGTTGCTACTGCTTAGTTCTGTTTTTCTCTTTCCGACACAAATTTTAACTTTAAATCAAGATTAAAAAAAGAAAGGAAAGAAGGGAAGGAAAGAAGGGAAGGAAAGAAGGGAAGGAAAGAAGGGAAGGAAAGAAGGGAAGGAAAGAAAAAGAAAGAGAAAGAAAAGAAAGGAAAGGAAAGAGAGAGAAAAGAAAGGAAAGAGAGAGAAAAGAAAGGAAAGAAAGAGAAAGGAAAGAAAAGAAAGAGCAAGCCTAGTTTGAAACACATGTAAAAGTCTTCACTTGCTTACAGTATGGTTAATCAGGTTCCCTTGCTGTTTGAGCTTTTTCTGCATTCAGTATACCCGGCGTATCCTCCGCGGTGGGCGCGGAGCGGCAGCGCAGCCTGGAGGCAGAGCAGACAAAGGGGCAGGAGGGCGGCGGCGGGACCCCCGGGGAGCCGCATGGTTTGCGGGGTCACACCGCCACCGGCCCCAGGTGGCGGCTGCCGCGTACGCACACACAAAGCCGGGGCGGAGGCGGTGTCGGGTCGGGAGGAGCCGGGCGATCGGAGGTGTCGCTGGTGGCCAGTGGGCGAGGAAAGGGCGCGGGGAGCGAGGAGAGGGGAAGAGGGAGAAGAAAACCAGGAGACCCGCAAACCCCCGCCGCTCCCGGGCGATGGGATGGGACGGGATGGGGCGGGGAGGTGCCCGCCCGATTTGGGAGGGCTGGGGGGTGCGCGGCCCCTCCGCCTTGCCCTGCCCTGGAGGGGTGGCGAGAGCCGGGTGGTGGCGAGTAGCCCCCCCGCAGGTGCTGCTCCGAGGGCCGGTTAATGGGCGGTGAGGGGCATCGCCCGGCCGGGGCGGGGGGAAGTTATCGGCGTGGTTTTCCCCCTTGGGAAGAAGAGCTGAGTCTGCTGAGAGGGCAGAGGGACATTATCCTGTCAGGTCATCCATCATCATCGTCGTCGGTCCAGTTTGGCGCCCCTCACCACAAAACCCCTTGGGAAGAAGAGCTGAGTCTGATGAGAGGGCAGAGGCACATCACCCAGTCAGGTCAGCCATCATCATCGTCATCGGTCCAGTTTGGCGCCCCTCACCACAAAAAAATAAGACAAGAGAGGAAAGAAAGAGCAAACCTAGTTTGAAATACAAGTAAAAGTCTTCACTTGCTTACAGTAAGGTTAATCAGGTTCCCTTGCTGTTTGAGCTTTTTCTGCATTCAGTAAGACTGCACATTGCTTAACTTTTTTTTTTTTTTTAAACCCACAATGTTACTTTCCATTAAAACCTTCCCCAAGGGAAAACACAAACTTTCATTCACTTCAGAGCACGGTGAAACCCCTAAAACTTTCCCCCTCCCGGTATAACGGCAGTTTCTACACAGACACTAAAACTTTTTTCTTCCCCCCCCCCCTAACCCAGGCAATTCTGTGATTCTATGATCATGAGTGGCAGAGAATCCATTATGAACTGTGAAAGTGGGATTTCAGGTTATTACCAGTCTTTCCAAAAGTCCTGGGCCTGCTCAGTGGGCAGGGGGGCAGAGACTGCCACAATAAAATAAATCTCAGTTTGTTTGTTTGTTTCACTTTTTTTTTTTCTTTTTCTGAAAACTGGGAAAAAAGTTTGCTGTCTCTTTTTCATGCTGGTGAGGGTGAGAGACCCACGTAATGGTAAGTCACTGGAACACTGGGAATAGCAAGGAAGGTGGGCAGAATATTGTTGCAAATAATTGTGGTTTATAGAAAACACATGGAGTACTTGTTAAAGAAAAAGGTACAAATATGATGCCAGTATGGAATAAATTGATAGCCCCTTTGATACTTTTACGGTGACTTTCATAAAAATAGAGCAAAAAGTGCTTCAAAACCAACTGATTCTCAGCCTCTCTGGGAGCAAGAGGAATGAGTGGGCTGTAGACAAATAAAACCAGCTGACATTTGAACATGTGCGAGAACTACTGTAAATCCCTGTTAATGTTTCAGAGACACAGGGAGCTTTTTGAGAAAGGGCTGTATTAAACCACACGCACTTCATACTCTGTGGCTGAAAGGCAAGCGAGCATTTTCCTTTGTCTTTTTCCCCGTGCTGGCACCAAATCTGACGCTGGTGGTGTGATAGAGTCTGGAGATGGAAAAGACTTGGTCCAGGGCAGGATTATTCCCTTCTGTTTGGTTCCTGGTGTTCTCTCCCTTGAGCTGCTCGTCCCCCCCCCCACCTCCTCCCCATAACATATCCTGCTTAAAATCTGTGTGTGCTTATACACAGATGTGCCTTTCAACATCTCTGGTTGAAAACACTTTCCATTTGCTACAGGCAAAACCCCAAACCTTTTCTGCAAGTCTTCAGCCTTGTAATAAAGGCAGCTTTAACTTTCCAGGCACCTATTTAACCGAAGCTCTGCTGCGTGTTCAGAAGTGACTTAAAAGATAAAGTCAGCTCTTGTGAAGTTGAGTAACTGGTGTTTGCAGGGCATGGATGTGATATTAAAGCTTTACTTCCCATGCTGTTCTTGGTTACTTTTCTTACTGTGTGTCTTTGCTACACCTGAGGTGCACAAACCAATTTATCAAAATGTTTGCAAAATATAGTTTGGCTATTATTCTAAAATACTTGCTTTCTGGATGAAAACCTGGCTCCGTTGGAGTTAGGAAGAATTTAAATATTGGCTTCTGTTTGCAGA